AAAAAAAAAAAAAAAGACTTCCAACTAAGAAAAATTACAGCCCAAATGGTTGAACTGGTAACTTATAGCAAACATTTAAGAAATTACAAATTTAATATATACTTTTTTTTTCCAGAAAATAAAAACACCAACTCATTTTATGAAGCCAACATGACAGTAATATCAAAACCAAATGTAAAAGAAAAAAAATCAAATGTAGAATGCCTTTAATCCCAGCACTCTGGACTCTCGAAGCAGGAGGCTTGTGAGTTCAGGGCCAGCCTGGACTACATAGGGAGAGCGTATCTCAAAAAACAAAACTAGCTGTAGACATGACAAGCCAAGGAAACTTAGCCCCTATATCTCCCATGAACATAGATGTAAAAATATTTTGTCAGGGTTGGAGATTTAGCTCAGTGGTTCCGCTGCCTGCCTCACAAGTGCAAGGACCCTAGTTTGATCCCCGGTGCCGAAAAAAATATATTTTGTTAAATTTAAGTGTAGTTATGTGTGGTGATGTACATCTGTAATCTTAAGACTTGGGAAGCTGAAGCAGACAGATCATGAGTTCAAGGCCAGCCTGAACTATTTAGCAAGACCGTGTCTCAAAAAACAAAAGAAAAAGAAAGAGAGGAGGAAAGAACCGTATGTTTATCTGAAGAAATATAGAAAAATATTTGTTGATATTCTCAACAAAATAGGTCATGCATTCTCAAACAAGGGTGGAAATTGGTTCTTGCAAGGGAAGGTAGTCTAGGGTTGAATATCCTGTATTTAAAATGCTTGGAACCAGAAATATTTCTTATTTTAGAGTTTTTTGAATTTTGCATTGTTCATCATAGACTTTACAGATTGAGCATCCATAGTCTGAACTCCTATCCAAAACACTTTGAGGGCTGGAGGTGTAGCTCAGCAGTATTCACCTGCATGTGCAAGACTGAGTTTGATCCCTAGCACTACACAAAAAAAAGAAAGACACTACCTGAAATTTGAAATTTTTGAATACACAAAAAGTTGCGGATTTTCAGATCAGGTCTGTTCAATCTATACCATGGTGTATACTCTTCCAGGGCCACGGGATATGAACAGACATAAATAGTATTAAAATTTCCTTGAATGGGAGGGTAATTACCAGAAAAGGCCTAAAAATGTTCTTTTGAGGGGTGATGAAGAAATATAGTCTGGGCCTGGGGATTTAACTCAGTGATTCTGCTGCCTGCCTTGTAAGAACAAGGTCCCAAGTTCAATCCCCAGTACCAAAAAAAAGAAAGAAATATAGTCTGAAAAACACTGAAGAATATGTGTGTGTGTGTGTGTGTGTGTGTGTGTATTTATGTCATATATAATATGAAAGACTGAGTCATTTTCCATAAAATGAAGAATAAGGCTAGGATATTCACTCTTGTGGCCTCTAGTCAACATTGTACTGGAGTTATTACTATAAAGAAATAAAAGATGCAAGGTTGAGCTGGGTGTGGTGACACTCATCTGTAATTCCAGCTCTTTGGGAGACTGTGGCAAGAGGATTTTGAATTTGAACCCATTATGGGCATCATAGCAACTTAGTGAGACCCAGTCTCAAAAAATAAAATGGCTGGGAATGTAGCTCATTGTGAAGGTCCTGAGTTCAATCCCTAGTAACCCCCCGAAAAACATCAATTTGGAAAAGAAGTGAAATGTTTTTTTACTTTCAGGTGACAAGATTATGTAAAAAATCTTAGGAAATATACAAAAAAGTAGCAAGATTCCAGAACAAAAAGTAGACCTATAAAAATCTTTTTTGGGGGGTTGTTTGTTTGTTTTTACCTGGGATTGAATTTGGGCCCTTCCGCTTCTGAGGCAGGAAGCCAGAACCCACTAAGCTAAATCCCCAGCCCTAGTATTTCTTTTTATAGTGGCAATTAATGATTAGAAATTGAGAGTTTAAATCAGTGTCATTTACAGCAGCATCGAAATGACACGAAGTGGAGTTGGGGTGTGGCTCAGTGGTAGAGCTTGCCTAAATTGTTCAATCCACAAACAAAGTGCTTACTCCTTGGCAGATAGGGAGGGGTGGAGGAGCTGAAGGGAGGGTAGGGGGATGAGGAAAAAAAAAAAGCAAGGTACATCATGTCTATAGGTACAAGTTCCCAGTGATGAATGTAAATGCATTGTATGCCTAAAATGTACCAATAAAAGAATTTAAGAGAAAAATATAAATAAAATAAATATTTTGAAGATTTTTTTAAAAGTGCTTAGGGATAAATTTAGCAAGTATACCCAGGTGTGGTGGCGCATGCCTGTAACCCCAGGATTTGGGAGGCTGAGGCAGGAGAATTGTCATGAGTTCAAGGCCAACCTGAACTACAAAGCAAGACTGCCTCAAAAACAAAAAAATAAAGACCTCTCAGAACACAAGAACAAGAAGACAACCCAATTTTAAAATGGGCATAAACCAAAAATAAATAAGGCTGAGGGCTGGGGATTTAGCTCAGTGGTGTTGCTGCCTGCCTCGCAAGCGCAAGGTCCCAAGTTTGATTCCCTGTACCCCCCCCAAAAAAAATAATAGGCCCACACCTATAATCCTAGCACTTGAGAAGCTGATTCAGGAGGATTGCTGTGCATTTGTGGCCAGCCTAGGCTATCTAGGGAGAGCCTGTCTCAAAAAATAAACTTTAAAAGTGGGCAAGAGATTTAAACTGTAGATAAGTACATAGAAAATATTATCCATTAGAGAAATGCGAATGAAAAGCTTTACAAACCATTTCCACGAGAACAGCAAAGATTCTTAAAGCTGACAGTACTGTGTGATAGTATGTGGAAGAAATAGCTCTTTTAAACATTGCCAGTAGGAATCCAAATTGCATCCTTCTCTTCAGAAAAGAATATGGCTCTTAAAGAGTTAAAAAAATTAAACTATAACTGTGTGACTGGGCATTTGACTCCTAGATTGTTTATGAAAGAAATTAAAACATCCACACAAAAATTTGTACATGAGCCAGGGATTTAGCTCAGTGGTTCCACCACCTGCTTCGCAAGCGCAAGGTCCTGAGTTTGATCCCTGGTACCAAAAAAACCCAAAACTTGTACATGGATATTTCTGGGAGATTTATTCATAATAGTGAAAAATTAGAACCAGGTATCTGCCAGTTAGTGCATAAGTAACATTATGGAACATCCATACCATGGAATACTGCTCAGCTATAAAAAGGAATTAATTTACTGATGCTGCAACAGTTCGTCTATATTGATCTCAAAAGCATTTCTGCTGACTGAAAGAAAACTAACAGATGACTACACTTGTATGCTTTATGGTTGTTTGGTGATTTGGTTTTTCTGCAATAGGGTCTCACTGGCTGACTTGGAAATAGGAACTCATCACCTAGCTCAGGCTTGCCTCAAACTCAGGAACTCACGATCCTTCTGCTTCGGCCTCCCCACTGCTGGGAGTACAGGTGTGCGCCATTGTGCCCAGCTGTATGTGTCCATTTCTATGAAATTCTAATTAGTATTAGAAATTCTAATATTAGTACTAGAAAATTGATCAGTGGTGGCCAGGATTAAAGGAAAGATGCTAACTACCAAGAGCTCTGCGGGATTTTGGAGACAGGATGAAAGTGTTCTGTATTCTGATTATGGTAGTGTTTGTACAGCTGAATACATTTATTGAAACTCACTGAAGTGTACACTTGAAATTGTTACTTTATTGTATGTGAATTACACCAGAGTAAACTCTATGTTTTAAAAGTTAGCTCTTGGCAGTTCTTTGGCCCCGAGAAAATTGGTTTGGGGGTTCTGAAACTTCAGTCACCGACAGGGATGCATCTTGTGATCCTGATAGAGTAAGTGAAATCATTCCTTTGTATTTCAGAGACAGAGGAGATGGGTGACGAAGAGGTTTTCTCTTGGTTAAAGTGTGCAAAGGGGCAGTCCCATGAACCAGAGAATCTCATGCCCACACAGATCATCCCTGGCACAGGTGAGGAAGTGTCTTTTGTAAATTTGTCGGAAAAAGTTGTTTTTCTGTTTGTTTTGTTTTGTTTTTGAGATAGGGTCTTGCTCTGTAACTCAGGCTGGCTGTAAACTCACTGTGTATCCCAGGCTGGCCTCGAACTCTCAGGGATCCTCCTGCCTCAGCCTCCCGAATGCTGGGATCACAGGCATGCACCGCCATGCCTTTGGAAAAAGTTTTTTTTTTTTTTTTTTTTTGA